GTCATCTTATACGCCGGCAAATACAGTACGTACATTGTGCAACGTTGGGGCAGAAAGTACAGTCCTATTTCTCATAGTCTAGATGGAAAGGGAACGCAGTTACCTTCCACTTGAATACATGTTCTTGATAAAAGTATATGCATACCTTGAATATGTCTGTTCTGGCTCATAATGTCTTCATTCAATATTTTTAATATAGCTGACTGGAAGTGCAGACATGCTGGCTTGATGGCTCTATCAGCAATTGGTGAAGGTTGCCACCAACAGATGGAAGGAATTCTGAATGAAATAGTTAACCTGGTTTTGCTTTTTCTTCAAGACCCTGTAAGTTTAATGCACTTAGCTTCCTGAAAAAATTATACCCAGTCATTTTATGAACTTACTAATAGAAGCTAAATGTTTCAGCACCCAAGAGTAAGGTATGCCGCTTGTAATGCAATTGGTCAGATGGCTACAGACTTTGCACCGGGTTTCCAGAAAAAATTCCATGAAAAGGCAAGTAGAAACCTATGTAATGTATATTGGTCAGGTTCATTTTAAGTCCTTCCACTGACAGTAGCTATTTGTGTTGTAGGTAATTGCAGCTCTTCTACAGACCATGGAAGACCAAGGCAACCAACGTGTTCAGGCTCACGCAGCTGCTGCTTTGATCAATTTTACAGAGGACTGTCCAAAATCACTGCTTATACCTTATTTAGATACCTTAGTGAAACATCTGCATTCCATTATGGTATTAAAACTGCAGGAGGTAAGTCACATAAAGTAATAATTTGACTTCTATGTTTTTATGAAGATTTAAGTGAGTTTCTTAGACTTGTCTGTTTTTTCCCTCACAGCTGATTGAAAAAGGCACTAAGTTGGTTTTGGAACAGGTTGTTACATCCATTGCTTCAGTTGCTGATACAGCAGAGGAAAAGTTCGTCCCATACTATGATTTATTTATGCCTTCCCTGAAACACATAGTTGAGAATGCTGTGCAAAAGGAACTTAGACTCTTGAGAGGAAAAACCATAGAATGTATCAGTTTAATTGGCCTTGCAGTAGGTAAAGAGAAGGTACGTTTCAGTTTGACTTAATTGCTGTAGATTCTTCTCATAATTTGCTTCATTTATTACTGTTACCTTGCTTTTCTTTCTGTCAGCAAACAGTAGCTTGCAAGATGAAAGTGGGGAGGGGAGAAATAATTTTCACTAAAAACATACCCAAATTTCTTGTCAGGAGCACTATGAGTAGATATACTTTCCTACTTTGTATTTCCTGTTAGAAACTTGTGAAGAAGTGAGAATTTTTTTTCTGTTTGGGGATTGAATTCCAATTTGTGAAGGATCTCAGGATGACATTTGTCATGGCAGGTGTGGTAGATTTAATTCTTAACAGTTTGGACACTTTCCTATCAAGCATGCAAAGGTCAGCTCAGTCCAAGCCTTTCCTGCCTACAAAAGTAAATCTTTTTTGCCTAGAAACCTCATAGGCATCCTTCAGTCTCGA